GCAGAAATCTGAAAGCAGGGCCTGTTGATGGTTTACAGATGTCAGTTCTGTGTTGCCCCTAGGGAAAGAAGATGAGCAGAGGGCAAGGAGCGAATCCACAGGACTCCAACTGGTGGAATAGAAGTCCCATTTCTCAGCTAGAGAAATCAGTGTCACTAACTGCAAGTACCAGAACAATTCTAGTAGAACACAGCATCTGTTGGAGTTTTTGTAGTCACCTGCATTCTGTTCCCCTCATCAAGTAGAAACTTGTGAGTGCCAGAAACTTCAGAAGAAGCTGCTTGTAGCAGGCTGTGTGCCTTTGCCCAATGGGGGAGCTTGGATTCTTTTTTTTTTTTCATTCTTGGTACAGATGGTCGAGTTATTTTAAGTAAGTGATGTGCTTGCAGTGAAAATGGGTAACTCTTTTTCATTTTTCAGCTTAATGAAAAAAAGAGAAGGGAGGAGGAGAAACCCCAGCTAGTTGACTTTGTGCGAATGCGTGTCTTTTTTGAATTCTAAATGTGTCCCAGTACACTGAGGTGGGATAAATATTTCAGCCACTAGAAAGGCCTGCTGTCAGGCTGAAAAGATTTCCAAAGTCTTTTAAAGCAGACAGTGTAGTAATTTACTTGTTTAAGCCCAGACACTCTCATGTCTCCTATTTTAACTCTGTATGTACAGATCCCACTTGCAAAGGTGATAGAACTTTCCAAGGAAGTGTAGTGGGCATGAAGAATAAGTTAGTAACACAGCATTTGGTTTTCTTCCTTGAGTGGTCACATATACTTCTTAGAGACCTGGGAAGTGACAGGTACCTGGGATGCAGAGATGAATGAAGTAGCACCACTCTGACTAGCAGGAGATAGTACAGACACATCAAGACACACAAATTGGGATAAAGGAAAACGCAGGGCATGACCAGAGGGACAAGCTTTAGGTTGGACTTCTGTGTAGGAAGAGTTTGTGATTTAAGCTGAAGTCTGAAGTGTGAACATGAGGAGGCTCACTAGTTAGACTGAATTGCTCAGACTCCCGTATCATAGCATGATTATCTCACAGTTCTGGACATCTGAGATTAAGGTGCCAGCACGATTGGTTTCTTTTCAAACCTCTCTCCGTGGTTTGTAGATGCTGCCTTTGTCCTGTGTCCTCTCATGGTCTTCCCATGTGCCTGTCTGTGTCCTGATTTCCTCTTCTCGGGAGGAACTCCAGCATATTGAATTCACGCTCACCTATGTGACCACAGTTTAGCTTCGCTCTCTCTTTAAAGACTCTGTCTTTAATATGGGTACTAGGGGTTAGGACTTCAGCATATAAATTTTGGGAGTCAAAATTCAGCCCACCACACCAGGTGAGAGGCGAGTTGAGTAATTAAGATAATTAAGTAGTATGTTGGGAGGCCTCATGGCAGGGAGGACATTGGTGAGACGAAGGAAATAAAGCAAAGGAAATTGCAGGAGTGGCCAGCAGCAGGTCATGCTGGGCTTTGAAAACCTTTGCCAGAGTTTTAGATTTGTCCTGAGGGTATAGAGAAACCTTCAGCTGCATTTAAATACCTCACTCTGTGTGAAGAGAAGGAACTGGAAGGAGTGAGAGGTTGACAGCAGGTTGGTTTAAATGGGTTTCTCTACCCTGGCACTAGTGATGTTTCTGGTTCGATGGTTCTTTTTTGGGGGGCAGGTAGAGGGGAGCTTCCTGTACCCTGCAGGATGCAAAGCAACATTCCTGGCCTTTACGTGCTCAATATCTATAGAACTCTCGCCCTAGTCACGACAACCCAAAATATCTTCAGGTGCTGACATATGTTCCCTAGGGGAAAAATTGCTTCTTGTCTGGCTGAAAAAGGGACAAGTGATAATGGCAGATTGGGTTGGGTGGTGCCAGTTAAATGAGGCAGATTGGATGGGTTTGAGGATGGTTTTGAAGACAGAATGAACAGGATGTAACTTCTTTTTACCTTGATTTCTCCCTGTGTTTTTAAGTTTGATGATGTCGCTGTGTGCCCCCTGCATGTGTAAGGATTGCACAGAGAATGTTCCTCTCTGTTATCATTCATTAGGCCTAGAAACGCTAGGGCTGGCAGGACCACCTGTGTATAGTGGACATGGTATTTAATCTCTGCCTCCACCCATTCATTCGTCAAGTCTGTGTGCCGCCAGCCTTATTGACTCTCAGAGCAAGCACTTTGGAATCTAATCTGGCCAATTTTCTGGTTCCGGAAATCTGTTTATCAGAACAAGATTTCACAGTTGTAGTGGCTTTTCCAGGGGTTGAGGGGTTGCCTTTGAGGAGTTTGCTCTACAAAAGCAAGTGCAAGTGATTTCCAAGCAAAACAGAGCAACAGTTCTGCATTCCACAGCCCTGAAGAGTTCCCTGCTTGCTGGTGATGCCTGCAGCAGTTGTTATGAAACAGCTGGAGTGTGTGGGTTTTCTGAATCGAGCATTTGGTATCTGGCTGGGATCCAGTCACCTGGTTGCCCTTCTGGGTTCTTCCCCATCACACCCCCATGGCATCCTGATCCCTCACCTAGAGATAGTAAGCGCATTTATTTCATGTTTTTCTTGGAGTTAATGGTGACTTTCTGGAGTATGATGTTGAGTCTGGGCTTGTGGAGCAGGGTACCATGATTGACTATTGCTATCTGGTTGGGTGGTAAGAGAGTGTGGTGATTGACTAGTGATGTCTGATTGGGTGGTAAAAGAGTGCCGTAATTGATTAGTGATGTCTGGTTGGGTGGTAGAAAAGGAGAAATGTACCACAATATTTGCCATTCCTAACAATCAGAACTGTATGTTTTTCATTCGAGACACTTCCTTGCCCTGGGCTGTGCCTTCCTGCACTGTGTCTTTGCTGGCACTGTTTTCTGGACCTGATAGAACCTTACTATTTTTTTTTTTTTCTTAAATCTCTGTGTATCTCACAACCTTCTCAGGAAATGTCCTCTCTTTTCTGGAATCTTCCATGATTCCCTTGAATTTTGACTAAAGAATACGGGGGAGACATTTAATTTTTTTTTTTTTAAGGTAAGGAAATGTCATGATTTGTTTTCTGTTTAGAAAGATCCTTCTGGCCACAGAAGGAATTATGGATTGGACAGGTACAAGATGAGAGGCAGGAAGGCCAAGCTGGGAGGTTGTGGCAGGCAGTGATCCCTGAGGAGATGGTGGTTGCTTGGACTGCATTTGTGCATGTGGCAGTGAGACTAGGTGATTGGCCATCTTCAGCGGTGATGGACCGAGAAAGGGACAAGGAGATTTGTAGGCAACTGATGTGGGTGTTTGGGCAGAGTGGAGACCTTTGCCATAGCTTCTCTTCTGGAAGTCTCCAATAAGCTATGAAAGCTCATTTCAGAAGGGAGACATGAGTGCACATTACTAATTCAATACTGTGTGACAGATGGTCTACAAGGGACTATCTATGGCACCAGGGCTGATGTGCTGCTCGCCCATGGCTGAGTCCATTTCAGTTGCTTCTGTCTGCTTGTTCCACTTATGAAATATTTTTAGCATCACCCCACACAACAGAGTAAGTACTTCTGTGTTCTTGGGGAAGCCAGGGACCACTTCAGAGGGAAGCAACAGAGAAGTTGCTTGCTGAAGGGTATGGAGGCATTTGCTAGGAGACCTAGCAGGTGAAGGGACATTCCAGGGGAAAAGAATAGCATATCTATATTGTAGTGGCATGAGAGAGAATGTGCTGAGGGAGCAAGAGCTCCCTAAGACCTAGAGATGCTTCTTTTTGGCAAAGCTTATAAAAGAGGATCACAGGCTCGTCTCTCCTGTTAGCCCAGGCAAACCTACAAGTCCATGTTCTTAATGCAACAGTGGAAGTAAATCCTAAGTATGTGTATAAGTGCCCAATAAATGCTTATTGAATGTCTCAGGAGGGAGCCCTGGAGCTGTTATTTGCTGAGGGACTGGTCTCCTTTTTTGCCAAGATTATTATTATTTTGGTGGTACTGGGACTTGAACTCAGGGCCTCATGATTGCTAGGCAGTTGCTCTACCACTTGAGCCACTCTGCCAGCCCTATTTTGTGTTGGGCATTTTTGAGAGAGGGTCTCGCTGGCCTTGAGCCTCGATCCTCCTGATCTCTTCCTCCTGAGGAACTAGAATTACAGGCATGAGCCGCTGGCACCTGGCTCGCCAAGAGTAATTTGCTTCCACATGGCTCCTTGTCATGGAGCCATTGATCACACAGGCTCAGACTGTTCACACCAATCAGATCCTGGCTCCCTGGAAAGCCTGCCCCATGGTCATGGTGGATGAATTTTGAACTCTGTCCCACCTGCCATCATTCTGGCCTTCTCGGTTTGCTTTCCTGCCTAAAGGTGGTTTTGGGTGGATACCATCGCACTTTATGATTGTTCAATGGAGTTGAACTTGAACTTGGGCTTGGTTCTAAACCTCCAGTAATTCTTGGCAGGCAGTATAGCAGCCTGGGTAGCCTCCTGGGGGTTGGAAGGCCTGAGTTCAAGTTTCATCTTGGCCTTTCCTACTCGTACTTCAGGCAGGTCGGTTTGTGGATCTGGGCATCCTATTTCCTAGAATGAAATGATCTCTGGGTATTCCTGCCAATTTGGCTCAAATCCAAGGACTCTGTGATTGTAGGGGCTGCAAGTCTGAGGCCTGGAAGGATCCTGCAGTTCCTGCTATTGGGGGTATTTGGAGCCCCATGCACACTCCTGTCTATAACTTTAAATTTTAGCTGTTGCTGCTAGCTTAGCCAAGAACATTTGGGTTTTACAACCAATCTTTTTGATAAAGAGAAGAGTCGTCAGTGGGCACCTAGTTTGTGCCAGGCACCTGAGCCCTTCCCCTATATTTCTCAAGTTTAGCCCTCTCAGGATCTTTAGCAGGGAAGTGGGGCAGTTCTTTGGTCCATTTCACAGAGGAGGAAACTGAGGTCCAGAGGGGCAAAGACAGGGAGATCTCACCTGTGCCTTTCCAGCTGGTGGGGGCTCAGTCTTGGCTGCTGTTCCTGTGCCTTCTGACCCCCCTGTCCCCTCTTTCCGACAGAGAGCCAGCTGCTCCCTGGGAACAATGTCACCAATGAGTGCAACATTCCAGGCAACTTCATGTGTAGCAATGGGCGTTGCATCCCGGGTGCGTGGCAGTGCGACGGGCTGCCTGACTGCTTTGACAAGAGTGACGAGAAGGAGTGCCGTGAGTGACCACCCTGTGGCTGGGGGTGGGAGTGGGTGAGGACAAAACCCCAGGGCCAGGGGAGGAAGCCCTGATCTGACTTTGACCTTGCACAATGTTTGCTGCCAGCTGGTGGGGCTGGGCCTCTGGCCAGCAGTCCTGTCCTGTCTGTCTGTCTAGGCAGCATAGTCTGTGCAGAAATACAGGTTTTGATGATGGCGGAGACATAGCTCGGGTGAGCCAAGGAGCCTCCCTCCCGTAAGGCTCTTGGCTCCCCTCCCTGGGGTGCTGCCTGCACTTTCACTTCAAGCCATCTGAGAATCCCTGGAGTTATGTAGCTGCGGCGTCTCTCCACCAGCAAGGAGCAGATCTGACATTGAACCCAGGGCTGCCTGATCCCAAGGCCCATGCTAGTGACCATCTTGAACACACGTTGGAGTTTCCTTGATGATTCAGTGAGGAATAGCATCATGTCAAGTACCCAGCATGGAGACGGTACTGACCCAATGGTCATTTGCTTCCTCTCCCCTTTCTCTAATGGTAGATGTGGCTGGGCCTTCAGTGGAGCATGCCCTTCACATGGGTACCACCAGGCTCTGGTAATCTTGGCGGTCCTCTCTGTATTCAACCTCCTTTCCATCTTGTGTCCCTGAAGCATGCGTGAATCTGGGTCAGGGATCGACTTCAAAAAGCGAAGCACCTAGGACATAGTGGAGGGGCTCAAGGTATCCAGTGATTATGCTCCCTGCTCCATAGTTTGCCTCTGAAGAGTAAACTTGGCCATGGACCATCCTCCTGGCACCCCAGCAGGTGGGAAGCACCAGGAGGGTGGGCACAGGCTTGTCTGATGGGTGATTGCCTTGGGACCACACATCTTGGCTCTTTCATGGGTTTGGGAACCAGGCCATGTGGCCTCTCTGTCAGGAGGACTCTTTGTTCTGGCTCTGAACCTGCAGTCTCCCTGGAAGCCAGCTGAGGAAATGCCTGAGGAGAGGATAATAAGTTGAACTTTTGGCATAGCCATTGCTGGGATTTAAGGCCCAGTCTCTTGACGCACGAGAAGGAGCACTGGATTTGGAGCCCACCACACAGCCAGCTGTTCCCTCCTCCTCCCTTTCCGTGTGCTCCGAGGGTAGGGTGCCCACTCTGAGACTTGCTCTCGCCCCTATGCCTGCTCCTGCTCTTCAGAGACGTTTGGGGGAGGGAAAATTGGAAAGTTTTTTGGGGGAGAATATTTTATTTTGTTTATTGTATGTGATTTTTCTAGGTAGAATGCTAGACTTAATGCTTTTTTGATTCTTTTCTTTCTTTCTGTTTTTGCAGAATTGCTTTGAAAGGTATTATGTCTGTTTCAACTTTCCCAGTTTCTAGTCTGACTTCAAAGCTGCTAGAAATGTGGTATTTGTACTTTGAATTTCAAGTGAGATAGTTTGTGTGAGCTCTGCCATCTGTCTAGTTTTGAGGATTATTTTATTTTAGGGATTATTAAACACCATATAAATATATGAATTGCTGTCCCATATTTCTGTGGTATATTTTTGAACTCCAGGAATAAGTTAACTGGGAACATTGGGCCCTTGAGAAGTTTGTGAAGGAATGCAGGGTTAGGAGTAAGACCTAAGTTTCATTCCCAGCCTGTTTGTAGCAGCTATTAGTGACTTCTATGACATTCTGTGTCCTCTGTCATATAGTCCCATGATTTTAGAATTCATGCTCCAGCTGAAGAGGTGGTAGGAGAGAATGTATTTTTCTTTTCTTTCTTTCTTTTTTTTTTTTAAAAGGATGTGCCAGCAGCTGCTTGGAGCTATGCAGTTTGGTTTGGAAAAGACTCATTCTTGGCAATTCTCCATTCTACCCTTTGCCCCTAAAGTGTGGTGGAAACCTGACTGGCATTCAGTTAGTCTTTTGATCAAAACATAATTAAAAATTTTACTATACACAGAAACACACGCATTAACCTCTCCTCTGTTGCCTTTCTTCTTCTCTTTTTTCTTTAAATTGCAAAAACACAACAGTTTAGACAATATAAAGGGAAGAAAATCCCTTTTCCAAGAGAAATTCTACTTTTGTTTAGAATTTCTTACCTATTCTCTTTTAGTCTGGGAGGTGAGAGTATGAGTTTTGGAGAAAGACTGTTGATACAGAAATCTGAGTCCCTTCTCCCTCAGGGAATTATGTGAGCTTGGGAAGGTTTCTAGAATGTTCTACACCTTAGACATTGGGAGGATTAAAGGGAATTCTTTGACCTTCTAGTACCTCAGCTTCCTCCTCTCCAAAGTGGGGCGGTAAGGCTTCTAATAATATTGGGGTGAAGTTTTAATGTTTGTGTGTGTGACGTGTGCAGCCTGGAGCTGTCACTGGGTTGAAACGCTGTAATTGATCTGCACAGCTGTTATGTGGTTGATATGGGGCTGTATGATTGAGTCATGTCCTTTTTCTATTTAACATTAGGGGTCCTTGGTCACATTACTATGTTCTGTAGTAGCCATCGTCATCTTGTGAGGTTAGCTGATGTTCCCTCAAGTAAGTGCGCTGCAATCTAACCATTCTCTTATTATTTAAATCTCCTTTGGTTTTTGTTTTTTTGCTTTTGCTGAACAAAACAGTTAGGATCACTTAAGGAACTTATCTATGCCTAGATGACAGAAATAACACAAGCCAGGGTGTCAGGGCTGAGGTCTGCAAGGTGACCAAGGGCTCTCAGGGGGCAGTTGATGTATAATCTGTGCCACGTTCATCTAGGGAGGGCACCTGGCTCCCTGTGTCACTCAGTCACACAGTCCTGTGTCTTGTTCTTTGGAATAGTGGGTGCTTCAGGAGAAGAGAGTAAGATGACCCCTGCTAGACGTCATGGCCTTGTTTGCCCTAGGAAGTTGTGACATTGAAAAGATAGTATGCTTAGCAAAGAGAGAGTGCTTGCCCTTTCTAAAGGGCAAGGAAGAGCCTGGAGAAGTGTCTTGTGGGAAACAGGCCAGTGAGCAGTTTGTTTTTTTAAATCTGCAACAGAGGGAAGACTTCCACAGACAGGAAGAAATTTTATCATAAAGGTCATATAATCACATATCGTGAAAACTGAGGGAAGGAGGGAGATACACAAAGCAAAAGTATTGGAGTCTATATTCTAATAGATCCGTGGTCAGCGTCTCAGAGACTTTGATTCAGGCCTTTTCCTGGTTGTAATCATCATGGGTGTTCAATTTTTTATTTTGAGTTTTTCCATGTAGCATTTCAATATGTTTTCATTTTTGCATTTCTGTTTATTATTTTTGTGTGTTCTTTCTCTCTCAGTACTGGGATTTGAATTAGGGCTTTGTACTTGCTAGGCAGGTGCTATACCACTTGAGCCATACTGCTAGCTCTCTTTCATCATTTTTATTTCCTAGATAACAATCCATTTTACTTCAGTATTTGATATAACATAGTTTACTTATAATTATTTACTATTCAACATTAATCTTTTTTTTCAGTGCTAAGGATGAATCCCAGGTCCTTGTCCATGCTAGGCAAGCACTGGCATGCCTAGCCCTGGCATTGTTTCCAGTTTTCCACAACTGGAAACGGTGTTCACTGTTGTGAACATGAGGGAAGGCATGACCAGCTCCCTGTTTCGAGAAATTTCCTTAGGCTGCGTTCTTAGAACTGAAATGACTGGGCTGAAGGGCGAAGCTTTTCTGGCTCTGCAGACAGACTGCCCTTTTGTTTTGCTGAAGGTCTGCACCAGTTGGCTCTTGCTGGCCATGTGTGGAAACTGGGACTTTATTTTAGTCTTGGCAGCACTGAATAATATCTTTAAAAAACATTTCTTTGATTAATTTAGTAGTTGAAAACAGTGAATGTATTTTAATTTTTTTAAATTAACAAGCTTGAATGTTTTCCCATACATCTATTTACTAGTCATATTTTCTTGTGAAATATGTTAGTGAACTATAATTAATTTCCCTCTGGGCTAACACTTCATGTTTTCTGCCTTATGCCCCTGGAGAATAAATCTCATTCTCTCTCTCTATCTCTCTCTCTCTCTCCCTTCCTTCTTCCCTCCCTCTCTCCTTGCTCTCCTTTTCCCCCCTCCCTCTCTGTTTTGGAAAACTTTTGAGTGTATTTCTGCTCTCTGTTAGTGGATTACCTTAAATGATTATTTTATCCAGATCACTTTTCATTTCCTTTTGGTCATAAAGGGAATGGGGATATGTTTTAGCAGCCTGTGGCCACTCTGTGAGAGCACTGATTTGTGCGCAGCAATGGTGTATGCTTACTACAGTCTCTTCTGGGCCGCAGTGTCCCAGGCACTTCACTTTTCATTATCTCATTGGGTCATCAAAGCCTTATTGGAAAGGAACAGTTATCATTCTCAGATGAGGAAACTGAGCCACAGAGCAATTAGACAGAGCTTGCCCATTGGCCCAGAGGTTATAAGACCCCATTACCTTCCTCCACCAGAGCCCCCTGGGTGGGTGGTTTAGTCTGTCTCTGTGGCTTTCTGTTACCCTGCTGAATAGGATCTTGTGGATTGTGTGTTATACTATGTTGTATTGTCTGGTGACTATGTTAGGTCACCTTTCCATTGCAATAGTGAAATAATCAACTTGGAAAGAGAAAAGGCTTATTTTTGGCTGTCAGTTTTGGAGGTTTTAGTGGCGCCCCTGTTGCTTTGGTTCTGTGATGAGATAGCACATCATGATGGTAGCGGTGGTGAAGCACAGCCACTCTCTTCATGGCCAGGAAGCAACAGAGAGCTTGTTGAGAACACACCCCCCAATGACCTAAAGACCTCTCACTAGACCCCACCTCTTAAAGATTCCATCACCTCCCAATAGTGCCACCATGGGGACTGAGCCTTTGACACGTGGCCTTTGAGGGACATTCAAGGTCCAAAGTATAGCTGGGCACCAGTGGCTCATGCCTGTAACGTGAGCTTACTTGGAAGACTGAAATTAGGAGGATCATGATTCCAACCCAGTCTGGACAAAAATAGTTTGTGAGACCCCATCTCAATGGAAACAAGCTAGGTGTAGTGTGCGTGC